TTCTATGCATTTTATTGTTTCGGGTCTTATATTCAAGTCTTTAATCGATTTTGAGTTAATTTTGGTGTGTGGTGATAGACAACAGTCTAGTTTCATTCCTTTGTAGTTAGCTTTCCAGTTTTCCCAGCACCATTTATTAAAGAAGTTTTCCTTTCTCCACTGTATGTTTTTGGGGCTTTTGTAGAATTCTTTGCCCATATAAATATTGGTTTACTTCTGGATTCTCGATTCTGTTCCACTGGTCCATGTGTCTGTTTTGCTGCCAGCACCATGCCGTTTTGATTACTGTCTCTTTGTAGTATAATTTGAAGTCAGGCAGAGTGATGCCTCCAGCTTCGTTCTTTGTTCTCAGGATGGCTTTGGCAATTCACGGTCTTTTGTGCTTCCATATAAATCTGATGATTTTTTTGTTCCATTTCTTTAAAAAATGCCGATGAGATTTTGATGGGGATTGCATTAAATCTGTATAATGCTTTAGGTAATATGGTCATTTTAACTATGTTGATTCTTCCAATCCAAGAACACAAAATATCTTTCCATTTCTTTGTATCTCCTTCGATTTCTTTAGGTCCTTCCCTTGTTTCATTAAATTTATTCCTAGGTATTTTATTCTTTTTGTTGTGATTGCAAAAGGAATTATTTACTTTTCTTTTTTTTCTGACACTTCATTATTAGACTATAAGAAAGTTAAGGACTTTTAAACATTGATTTTGTATCCAGAGACTTTACTGTATTTGCGTTTCTAGTATTTTTCTACTTTTTTTTCTGACACTTCATTATTAGACTATAAGAAAGTTAAGGACTTTTAAACATTGATTTTGTATCCAGAGACTTTACTGTATTTGCTTATTGTTTCTAGTAGTGTACTTGTGAAGTCTTTAGGGTTTTCTATATAGAGAATCATGTCATCCACAAATAGTGAGTTTGACTTCTTCATTTCCTATTTGGATGACTTTTATATCTTTCTCTTGTCTGATTGCACTCACTAGGACCTCCAATGTTATATTGAATAACAGTGGTGATCTTAGAGGGAAGGTTTTTAGCTTTTCATCATTAAATATAATGTTGGCTGAGGGTTTGTCATATATGGCCTTTATTATGTTAAGGTACTTTAGGAAGGCATGATTTTTAAAGTTGTTTGAATTGACCATTCTTCATGTTATTTAAAAATCATGTAAAAATAAACCCAACCTGTTATTACCCCTAGACAATCACAGGAACTTCTAGTTACTCATCTTTTAAAAAGTAGTGACTAATTAATAGCTTGTAACTTTATAGCACCATATTGAAGCAACTTTCTGATCATTTTTTTACAGTTTAAATCAATCTTTTCTAAACATTATAGCTGTATGAGTCAAAATGAGTAGATCAACTGTGTCACAGTTTACTGTTGAGATTGAAATCTGCTGAGGGCTTTTGGACTTGATGCAAAAATATATTCAATTCCTTTACTTTCATAAGATATCCAACTAGTGAGGGAAACAGTGCTAAATCCGATACAACTTTACCTGAATTTCCATACTTCATTTCTCTCACGAGTGCCTCAAAGTTACTTTTCCTATGGGAAAGAAAAGATTGAGTGTGTTCTTCATTGTGCTCCCTGAACTTGTCACAGGCTTTACTCATGATAATCGTTAGGAAGTATTTATTGGTTAGATAATTAACATTAGTGTAAGAAGAGGAGTTGTCAGGCAGATGGAGTGATAGGTGGCCCAGCAGCAGGATCAGCATCGTACAGTCAGGAAACCCCAGCCTGTTTAGTGTGGGTGCAGGGCAAGGGCTGGGGAATGGGCTGGAGAGACAGGCTAGGCCAGATCACAAAGGCCTGTGTGCCCAGAAGGAGCGGTTAGTTTATCTTATACAGGACTTTAAGCAAGTGAATGATATTCTCAGCTATGTGTTTTAAAAAGACAATATAGAATCAAGATGGAGAATAGATGAGATAAGATACACAAAAATAATAAAATACCTAGGGAGGCACAGAGGAGATTACTGTAATGTTAGAGAAATGAAAGAAGGCTTGAGTCAGGCAGTGATAGTGAGGAATAGAAAGGAGGGAGGGAGCGGACAGATGTTTAATAGGTGCAACCTGGCCCTCTCTAGAAG